TAACGAACCAGAAGTCTGGGAGCGGCTCAATTAAGCCGCTGCCGACGGCTAAGATCCACCCCGGAAGTCCCAGTTTGGAGATCTTCCTAAAGTCATAGCTCCTATTTAATAAGGAGGTTGGAGCTTTAGCAAGGAAGGCTTTGCCTAAATATATCATATATGCTAAAGATGGCCATGCTTGAGTCAATAGGCTCTCCTTACACCCTAATCACCTGTTGCTTGGATTACTACATTGCGTTGTGCACAGGTCTGTCCTTGAAGAATATTCGGAAGGTACATTTCATAAGGGTGATAACACCTGTATCTCAATATACCTCAGTGATCCTACTTCTTATCACTATTTGCCAGTTGGATACGTAGTAAATAAAGTTGGAAGGCTCTTCCTGGTGTTGGACCTGGAGGGAACACCTTATTTAGTATTTATCTTCCTGTGCACCTATGAGATTTTTGCTCTGTTTATATACAAGTGGCTTGCCTTGTCAGTGTTGGTGGGAGTAGTCCAGTGGTAGGATTCAGCCGGTTCGCACCTATTCGGGAGAACCGGTTGTTAACTTTCTGAGCAGTCCAGAGAACTGGTTGTTGGAAGAAATCTCCTTTTGATTTTCCCCCCACTTTGCAGGGCTAATCCTGTAAGGAAGGCAGGAAGGAAACATTCTGGTGTTGTTTCTAGCCTCATCTGTATTGAAACTGCCTCTCCGGTTAACCCTTATTACATTGTAACAGCTAAGGCCAACCTCCCATTGACATGAATGACGTTGAGTTGGCCATGATCACCCGGTTACATGACCCCTGAGCCATGCCTACCCAACTGATCATTAGGGCAGAGAACCAGTGGTTAAATTATTTGAATCCCATCACTGGAGTGGTCTTTTTATTTTTTTTAATAAAAATGTCAAATTAACGTGTGAACAGTGAGACATCTGGGCAACATACATTCCAATACAAAGAAAACTGATCAGATTGAGTATTATTATTACATTCAATCAATTTATATAATTTCCATAACAATATACATCTATATTAGGTTACAATCTTTCATTATTCAGTTATGCCACCTATTTCTCATTATTACTTTCCTTTTATCAAATAAAAGTATAGTACATTAATATTCTACCACCACTTAGCCTAGCTTTTAATCATACCACCCTATAAAAAGCTCCCCCCTTCTTTCCTGTTAACTTCTAATCATGTCACCTGCCTACAAAAAGAGGAAGAAAAAAGCATTGAGAGGGAGAGAGAAGGGAAAACAAATTGAAACAGCAACTGATAAAAGGAATCATCCTTCCATCATCACTTGCCTGTTTTATGATTTAATTGCTATGCTTTAAAAGAAAGGGGGGGGGAGGAGGAAAAACAAGTCAGAAGAACAATAAGGAAGGAAAAGAGCTCAACTATCCATTGTCTCTTGCCCACTTCGACACCTCAGTTGCTATGCTTTTATTTTTATTTTTTTGACCTGTCTCCCCCATTCCTCTCTTGAGTCTCCCTCTATATTTCTTGGATGTCCAATCTAAGTATTCCTCTGGTGGGAGTGATCTTGATGGTTTCTTGATTTAGCTGTTGTTTTCCATTTGATCTTTTGTCTGAGCTAGCACTTCCTTCATTGGAGTATTGTTTACTGCTTGGTTGTTAGTCTGGTATTACTTCCATGTTAATCCAAGAGGAAAACACCACTTTCACCAACACCGACAAGGCAAGCCACTTTATATAAACAAAGAGCAAACTCTATTGCCTTGTAGCACTCATGACGTTACCTAGTTTGGTAATTAAAGGCCTGCAAGAAAACCACCAATCTCAGAGACCGCCTAGGATCTCACAGTTCAACTCTGAGTACAAATATTCTTCTTTGTTGGTTCCTTAAACTGTTCGACCCATCCCCCATTTTTCCAGTCTTGAATGATACCACTGTCACCCCAAGAAAACAAGATTAAAAATTACTCCAAGAGATCCAGGATAGGTCCAAGTTATTCCTACCACCGCTCTAGTGCATGAGGAGAGGATGATCCGATTGGTAAAAGGGTTACTGTATATACTCGAGTATAAGCCTAGTTTTTCAGCCCACTTTTTGGGCTGAAAAAAGCCGCCTCGGCTTATACTCGAGTCAATAAGTTTTCCAGTTTTTTGTGGTAAAATTAGGTGCCTCGGCTTATATTCGGGTCGGCCTATACTCGAGTATATACGGTAATAAGGGGCACAGCATTCTATTTTTTATTTGTCTTTTTTAATGTATGCTCAAATTAGTTCCCCTTTCTCCTATAGATATGCCTTTGTCTTGTGATGAGATTGTTGGCTGCCTAGGAAATTGCTCAGCACACAGTTGAAACAAACAAACAAACAAACACACTACAAGCAGGGATGGGTTCTGGCAGTCACTACTGCTGGTTTGCTCATGGCCGGGCAGACAAACTTAATGCGTGCTGTGCGCACATGCACAATAAAAATTGCTTTGTGTGCATGCGCAGAAGCAAAAAAAACAAGATGGCAGCGCCTATGACACCACCAGGAGAACCAATGTGAGGGCGTGGCAGGCCTGGGTCACTGCCGGTTCCAGCGACCCAGGCCGCCAAACCACTACCGCTTCAGCCGAACCAGACCAAATCAGTAGGAACTCATCAACTAACTACAGGTAGTTCTCAACTTACAACCACTTGTTTACCCCACAGGTGCTTTTTCAAGAGGCAACTGGACTTTTCTTTGAAGACGTTTCGCTTCAGATGAAGAAGCTTCTTGGATGAGAAGCAAAATGTCTTCAAAAGAAAAACCAGGAAGTCCAGTTGCCTCTTGAAAAACCACCTTTGGGGCAACTATGACCTGGGTGATTGAGACTCTCCACAGACAATCATTTGCTTAGTGACCCTTCAAAGTTACAACAGCACTGAAAAATGTGACATGACACTTTTTCACATATATGTTGTAGCATCAGCATGGTCACGTGATCAAAATTTGGATGTTTGATAACCGTGTCATATTTATGACGGTTGTAGTGTCCCGGGGTCAAGTGATCCCCTTTTGCGACCTTCCGAGAAAGCAAAGTCAACGGGGAAGCCAGATTGACTTAACAACCGTGTTACTAACTCAACAACTACAGTGTTTCACTTAACATGGGTGGCAAGAAAAGTCATAAAAATCAAACAAAACTCACTTTACAGCTGTCTAGCTTAGCAAGAGAAATTTTGGGCTCAGAATGTGGTTGTAAGTCAAGGGCTACCTACAGCTGGGTCCAAAGCAGTATCTGGAGAGCTCCTGGGATTCCTAGAGGGAGGTTCTTCCTTGCCAAGTCCAGCATATTGTCTAGAGATGAAGATCCTTGAGTTTTAGTCAATGAAATACAAGGAATGAGGAGTGGGAAACAGCAGAGATAAGTTGTAGTTGGCTCTGTACCGAGAAATCCTTTCTGTCACCATAATGCCTTGGTCCTTCTTCTCCTTGGTTTTCCTTCATACCCAGTAGCCTTTAATGATTGAGGGAGGACTCAAAATGTGCATCTACTCACTCTTCATTCATGAGCATCGCCATGCATCACCCCAGGTCCTGCAATTCTCAGAGAGAGATTGACTCTAGTCCCCCAGGGCAGGATCTCCAACCGTAGCAACTTTAAACCTAGTGGACTTCAACTCCCAGAATCCCCCAGCCAGCAAAGCTAGAAATTCTAGGAGTTGAAGTCCACCAGGCTTAAAGTTGCCAAGGTTGGAGAGACCTCTGCCCCAGGACATTTTCTGTGGCTAAGAAGGGATTAGAGCCACCTCTAAATTATAGCCCTAACCTGCTCTGCTGGATTTCAGCGTATGAATTCTTCGGATCACATGAGAATCAAATTGGTCTTGCTATTAGACAAGAGTTATCAGTGCTGGGTTAAGTCCTGACCTATCAGCAACAGGGCTGCATGGTTGAATCAGCAAAGTAAGCCAAGAGGCCATATGGGATCCCTCTTAATTCACATTTGTGACTGACTTTGCAGCAAAGGAAGACAAGAAGTCATAGTGAATAGTTTCTTACCAGCTGCTGGCCTTTGGGTCCCCATCCCGCAAATTGGAGCTTTGCATTGCTAACCTCGGGAGGGTAGAGATTTTGAGGCTCCCTGTAAACGAATAAAACATTGGGAGATTTTAATAAGATCCTGCACCTCTGCTGTCCTTAATGGGATCTACTGTGACAAGTTCAAATTCACCACTATGTTCTTTACTCTTTATAAAACTGGAGGATACAGAGCCATGCTACTCCTCCGTATGCCTGTGAAACATGGACTTTCTGTCGAAGGCATGCAAAACACTTCAACCATTTCCACACGACAAACCTTCATAGAATATCAGATAAAGTACAGGTAGTCCTCGACTTACGTCCAGACTCTTAGCGGACAGTTGAAGTTACATTGGATGCCCCCACCCCAAAAGTACTTACAACTCAGTTCTGAAATTACAATGACAAAAATCTCTCAGGGCATGCATAATCAACTGTGAATGCTTCCAAGTTTATCTGACCTGAAATAATTACGCATAGTTTAGCTCAGTGGTAGTCAACCTGGTCCCTACCGCCCACTAGTGGGTGTTCCAGCTTTCATGGTGGGTGGTAGGGGTTTGCTGTAACTCTGCTTTATAAACTTTATAAAGTAAAGTTACTTCCCTACTTTATAAATCACTATTACTGTGGAACCGGTGGGCGGTTAGAAAATTTTTACTACTAACAGAGATACAAAAGTGGGCGGTAGATATAAAAAGGTTGACTACCCCTGGTTTAACTAAATAAGAATGAGTTTTCCACTGAGTTATTCTAGTGGAAGGGAACTTAAGAGGTCTTCTAATCCTACCCCATGCTCAGGCAGGAGACCCTATATCATTCCAGACAAGTGGCTGTCCAGTCCCTTCTTAAAACACCTCCAGTGATGGAGCACCCACAATTTCTGAAGGCAAGTTGTTCCACTGATTAACTGGTCTGGCTGTCATGAAATTTCCCCTTAGTTCTATATCAGGGTAATGATGATTTAAAGCTGACCACTCTATGTAAGGCTAATGCAACTGTAAAGCTGATGAAATGTAAGGCTGATGCAGTGTAGATGAATCAGCATTGGTATAGCCACTTGAAGACCGTGAAGGGATCCACATGAGGCTTTACCACTTTAAGAGGTGTCTATATAAAGGAGGCCATGCCATGAGAGGTGGTAACTCTCTCTCTTCGTGTATCTCTCTGGTATCTGGTATCCATTTGCTAAGTTCTCCGTGTGGTGTTAAGAAGAAGATAGATTACTTGTCGGGTATTTGCTACCACGTATGTATGTATCTGTATATGTCTTGTATATAAACCACTGTTCACTGTTTAAGGCTCTTTGTACTATATTATGCTCCTGGGCTGTCTCCTAATAGTATTCATGCTGCAAACGCTCTGATATTCTAATAGGCTCTTTCCTTGATTAGTTTCCATCCATTGCTTTTTGTCTTGCCTTCAGGTACTTTGGAGAATAGCTTGACCCTCCTCGTCTTTGTGATGGCTCCTCAAATATTGGAACATTGCTATCACATCTAGGCCTTCTTTTCATTAGACTAGACATACCCAATTCCTGTAACCATTCTTCTTATGTTTTAGCCCCCCTCCCTCCCCATACTAATTATATCTTGTTGCGCTTCTCTGTACTCTTTCCGGAATCTCAACGCCTTTTTTATATTGTGGTGACCAGAGAATTGGATGCCGTATTCCAAGTGTGGCCTTACTAAGCCTTTGTAAAGTAGTACTAGAACTTCATGGGATCATGATTCTGCCCCTCTATTAATGCAGCCTACGATTGCATTGGCTCTTTTGGCTGCTGATGCACACGGCTGGCTCATATTGAAGTTCCCTAGATACTCCAAGATCCATCTCACAGTTACTGTTACTAAGTCAAGTTTCACCTAGTCAGTACCTACACAGTTGATTTTTCTTGCCTAAGTATAAAACTTTACTTTCATTTTGTTACACAGGGCCCAAACTTCAAGTCTGTCAAGAACTTTTTGGATCTTGAGATTGTCTTATGGGATGTTGGCCCATATTCCTGCCAGCTTAGTGTCATCTGCAAATCTGATGAGTTCCCATTTTATTCCCTCATCTAGATCATTTATGAAGATGTTGAAGAGTACTGGGCCTAAGGCATAACCTTGGGGAACCCCACTGCTTACTTCCCTCCATATGGATGTACTTCTGTCAATGACTACATGTTGAGTATATGCCAGTCAGTTACAAACCCATCTGGTGGTAGTACTGTCTATCCCACATTTTTCTACCTTGCCAAGAAGTAGGTTTGCGATCTACTTTATCAAATGCTCTACCAAAATTTAAGTACACTATTCCACAGCATTTCATGATCCAGTAATTTGGTCACTTTGTCAAAGAATGAGATAAGATTTGCTTGGCATAATCTGTTTCTGATGAACCCCTGGACTGCATGGAGATGACATCATTCATCCTAAAGGAAATCAACCCTGACTGCTCTTTTGAAAGAACAGATCCTGAAGCTGAAGTTCAAATACTTTGGCCACCGAATCAGAAGTGAGGACTCACTGGAAAAGACCCTGATGTTGGGAAAAAGTGAAGGAAAAAGGGGAAGAAGAAGGCAGAGGATCAGACAGCATTAGATGCAATGAACCTAAATGAACCTAAATTTGAGCAAGCATAACAGTGGAGGACAGGTGCTATTGTCCATGGGGTTGCGAAGAGTCAGATGTCACTTAGTGGCTGAACAATAACATACATTCTTCCCTGCCTATTTCTTGTTGACCTTCTGTATGTTCTTTTGGTATTTTCCATCTTTAGTAAATGAAATCAATGTAGCGTTGAAGAGTCTATTTTCTTTGACTCGTTGATCATTCCTTTATGATCTAATTTGTAGAGTCTTAATCTATGAAGAAAAAGATGTGGTGTACATTTGCCACTATAACAATGAAAGCAGGAAGATCTCTTCGATTCCTCTTAAGTTCAAGGTAATTTGAACTTAATGGTATTATTTAACTATTTAGCATTAATGATGTTAATTACTTTGCGTTTCATTTACTTAATTTCTCCCAGGATATTTATTGAGTTGGAATGCATGTAGTGCCTAGCTCTCAAAAAGTGTGTGTGTGTGTGTGTGTGTGTGTGTGTGTGTGTGTGTGT